CCATCCATCCATCCTTTCATTATCCTTCCATCTATCAATCATCCATCCTCCATTTATACCTGAAAGAAACATCCACAAATCTAAATCTGACTGTCTACCTACCAACTGTCCATCCATCATTCATCCATTTATACCTGAAAGATACATCAACAAATCTAAATTTGTCTGTCTGTCTGTCTGTCTGTCTGTCTGTCTACCAACCATCCATCCATCCATCCATCCATCCATCCATCCATCCATTTATACCTGAAAGATACATCAACAAATCTAAATTCGTCTGCCTGTCTGTCTGTCTGTCTACCAACCATCCATCCATCCATCCATCCATCCATCCATCCATCCATCCATCCATCCATCCATCCATCCATCCAACAGTAAAATGACCACAGTATTAATAATTTCTTAATGGCACTGTATGTTCCATTGTGAATAAAATATGGGTTTATGAGATTGTATTTTGCTTCTATTTACATTTTACTTGATGTCACAACATTTTCTGTATTTGGGGCTGTGAACTGTATTTATCTGGAGTTGCCACAGCAAGTCATCCTCCTCCATCTCACCACAATCCTGTGTCCTGCTGTCCTCATACATGTCCACAAGTAAACAACCCATTAGTTCTGAATAGTTTCGTTTTGTATTGGATCTGTGAAACTTACGTTGGATGGCTCTGAGGCGAGGCAGCATAGATGGACTGGCTGGAGGGCTGGAACTGCTGCTGAGCAAACTCCTTCGATGATCACGAGTGGGAGATGCCTGCACAGTGATTTTGTGCTGAAAATCTAACAGATTCATTAAAAACACATTTATTTCCTTTTCAGTACAGATGTTGTCTGATTACAAGAGCCATGCAAGTTCAGCTAATTTTCAGCATAAACACGCCCACAAAGTTCCTACAAGACTTGGTGCATACACCTTTTGAACTAAATGAGTTCTCGGGCCATGCAAGAATAAAAAGCCATAATTTTCTTTCATGTTACAGCAACAATGAGAACAGAGTTCTTAGCGTCTTGTAGAGTATAAACAAGCATATTCTGGAACCACTTTTGAGAAGAAACTTCTTCCAGCTCAGTTTGTTGTTTCTGTTGAAGTTACTAGTTTATGTCTGTGTTTTGGACATTAAGTAAAGAAACCTGTTTAGCCATGAAGTGCTGATGATCTGAATACACAAAGATGCCATAGCGGCGCTCATGATTTTTGCTGAGCATGTGTAGCATTTATGTGAAGCCCTGATAAGATTATAAAAAGTATCAAATTATCTTTTGACTATGTCACAGCGCCGTAGCTTGCTTTCCACACCTGAAGGCAAGCTGATCCTGTTTCCATCCTTGAGTTTAAGGCGGTTGCGGCGAAATTTGCCCTGCCTGCTCTCCACACGAGGCTTCTCCTGGTAAAGCTGATGAATGATGATGTTGAGCTCACGCTCCAGGATGTGGATTTCCCTTTCGGCTAATTCCTGCTCTCGTCTTCTTAAAGCCTCCTCTTGGCACTTCTGCTGCAGTGCTGCTCGGCTCAGCTCTTCCTCCCACGATCGCAGCTCCTGATGGGGTAAAACAACACGAGAACCTACAGCTGTTGTCACATCTCCACGGACTCCAACGTCAGGAGGAAATGGTCATTGTACATTTCCCCCTACAGAAATTCTTGTCTCGTCATTACCTTTTCCTTGGTCCTAAGCTGGTCAAACATTTCCTGGATCTCCAGTCTCCAGTCATCCTGCAGAGAGTGGAATGATTTTGCTGGCATTTCAAAGAAGCCCGACTCTTCAATAGATGTGAGCTGATCCAGAATAGTTGAGAACTGTGGCCGAGAGTGAGGGTCTGAGCTCCAACAGCCTGTGACAAAAGACAGAAAACCATTTTAGACATTTGGGCTAAATTTGCCTTAAGCTGAAATGTTTTGGTTCTTTAGATATTTCAGAGCCAAAAAAAAACATTGTTTGTTTGTTCGCCATCAGTCATATCATTTAGAGGCTAAAGTTTTTGCACGAGACAAACGTAAGAATTGAGTGGTACGAGTGGAAAACTACCTGTAAGACACCACTTGGTCACTTTGAAAATTTAGTCATGCCTTTCGGCCTCATTAATACTCCAGCTGTTTTCCAAGCTCTAGTGAACGATGTCCAAAGAGATTTTCTCAGTGTTTTTGTCTATTTATCTAATATTCTAATCTATTCAGAAGATCCTCAACAATATCAATCCCATGTAAGAGCATTCCTCCAACGCTTATTACAAAATCAACTTTTCATCAAAGCAGAAACATGCGAGTTCCATGTGACTTTCCTTGGGTTTGTTTTTGAAAGTGGGCAGTTCAGGGTGGATCCAGACAAGATAAAAACAGTGGCAGAATGGCCTACATCTGAGAACCACAAATAGCTCCAACCCTTCCTAGGATTTCCCAACTTCTATCGCAGATTTATCCACAACTATAGCCAGACTGCAACCCATTAAGACAACTCACCTCAACCCTGCAATCATTCACCTGGACACTTGAAGCCAACACTGCTTTTTGTAAGTTAAAACAACTATTCACCTCTACTCCCACCCTCTCACCTTGATCCACAGGAACAATACACACTGAAAGTTGATACTTCAGATTGGGGTGGAAGCAGTTTTGCCTCAATGTACCAAGTAAGATGGAACGTTGCACATCTGTGCCTTCTTCTCCCACCAGCTATCCCGATGAAAAATCTATGATGTTGGTAACGATGAGATACTAGACATAAAGCTTGCATTAGAGGACTAGAGACAATGGCTAGAGGAGTCTATACACCCAATTCATTATCTAGACAAATCACACAAATCTTTCATATCTGCAGTCATTCAAGGGACTCAAAGCTCATCAGGCTCACTGGTCATTATTTTTGCCAGATTCCAGTTTACTATTACATACCGACCTGGTTCTAGGATCGTCCATATCAGACGAATCCAAGATGTCCGAGAACGTCCTACCTTCCTTGTGTTTCATCAGTAGGGTCACCTGGGATATTTAGGGGGTCATCAGACAGGCCCAACAAACACAACCAGATCCAGGATCAGGACCACCTGACATTTTGTCCCAAATTCCATTGGAGTTCAGGTCCTGCGATTGATACACAATTCTAAAATATTTTGTTATTCAGGTTCTATTAAAAAAATGTTCAATACAAAAATACAGGTGTATTCAGGTTCTAATTAAATGTGGAACTTTGCTCATACATACTTCTGGTGGCCATCCATGTCTCAGGATTTAAGGTAGTTTCTGTCAGACTTGTGCCCAAAATAAGAGTAGTAATCGACCACCTGCTGGTCTCCTGCTACCTCTACCCATCCCTGGTCATCCCTGGTGCCACATAGCTACTGACTTCATCACTGGGCTGCCCCCGTCCAAAGGAAACACAGTAATACTCACCATTATTGACCATTTTTGTAAAGTTGCATGTTTTGTTTCCCTTCCTAAGTTACCTACTGTCTCAAGACTGCACAACTTTACACATTCTTTTGATGCCATGGAATCCCTTTGAATATAGTCTCCAACTGAAGAACCCAATTCATATCACAAGCCTGGAAGGCTTTTTGCAATGCTCTGGGAACATCTACCAGTCTCACATTTGGCTACCACCCTCAATCCAAAGGGCAGACAGACAGATGTAATCAGGAGGTGGTAGCAGCATAAGGTGCTACCAGGTATACCAGGCCATCAAAATAACTATCCCTTCACTTGGAGTTCACATCTCGTCGAATATGCCCAGTATACAGTAAAAGTTACAGTATAACTTCCTCAGCCACTGGACTGTCACCATTTGAGGCATCCTTGGGAGACTCACCTTCTCTCGTCCCCAGTAAAGAATCAGATATTTCTGTTTCATCTGTTGAACAACTTCAGTTGTGTTGCAGGATCTGGTGACAAGCAAAGGCAGCTCCTCTCAGAACCACAGACAAAAACAAAAGAATGGGAGACAAAGGCAGCACACCAGACCCACAATATAAAATCAGCCAAAAGGTATGGCTTTCCATACGAGACATTATACTTAGACACCCCCAGAAAATTGGCTCCCAGGTTCAATGCTACATTTTCTGTCAAAAAGATAGCTAATCCTTATGCTGCTAAGCTCAAACTTCCCACCATGGCCCTGAGGAGAGGACTAATCTCGACCCCGACCTCATCACAGCACTTTATAGAACCCAACCTGAGAAGCGGCTAAGATTACGTAGAGGTAATTTTTGAGAAGGGGGTACTGTTAGGATTCCAATGTTTTTCCACTTTCCACCTCCAGTTTCTGTTAATGGGTGGTGCTGGATGGCTCACAGCTGTCACCCATGACAGCTGATCATTACAACCACTACTTAAGGCTGTGTTGGACCAAGATTCAGTGTTGGACTGCTGGCTGCCATATGGTGATTTAATCGACAACTTCTGAGCTAGAAGAATAATATTCCTAGAGCTAACTTGTGTTTTTTACTTATAATGTGTCCTCACAGTACCCTTGTGGTTCTTCCTTTAGACCTGAACCTGGTACTTCTCCCGAGTTCCTCCCTGGTGTGCTTCATCATTCTAACCCTGAAAAACCTCAGAAAGGTATCACCAACGCAGCCTTCAACCAAGCTACTTCACATGAGCTACGAAATAACCCGTGGATCTTTGGACCTGGAATCCTCATCAGCTCCTCTCCAAAACCTAAGAGCCACATGTAAGAACTGTCTTGATTACATAAATAAGTCCCTATAGAATGATTAGTTCAATTAGCTTTGTGGGGATGTAGTAGAGTGATGTCTGAATGTGTATGTGGAAGTAAATGAGGGCACAGATTGTGTTGTAAAGAGCTTTGAGCATCTTCATTAGATAGAAAGGTTCTATAGAAGTACAGTCTAGTTACCATTTACATAAAGGATGATCAATTTCCTGTGAAACCTCAGTACTTACCTTCACTTGTTGTCTACAGATACTCCAGTATTCTTGTAACATTCTCCGTTACCTGCTTAATAAACTGCTTCCCTTTTTATCTGGTCTTTGCAAAATACTTTTGGTTCTCAGAACATTGATCCATGTGTAAAAAATATAGTTATCAAAATGACATCTAGTACCTAAACTTTACTTCAAAAAGAGAACTGTGATCTAAATGGGATTTGCCTGGTTGAATAAAAATGAAAATAAATGTCATAATCCCTTTAAAAAAACATATTTATTGGAACACAGACCGCCTTGCTTGAATCTCTCAGCAGAACATAATTTTGTTTACTTACTGTCCATAAGACGTGCAAAAGGCTCAGGACAAGTGGAGGGAACGGGCAAAGCCAGTTTGTTCATTGCCACTCCGTAAGCAACTGCTAGACCATCTATATTTCGAAAGGGAACTTCTCCGGTCAGCAGCTCCCACAACAGCACGCCATAACTGTAATGATGAAAAGAACGTCAACCGACAATAATGAACATGTAAGGACCTGAGACCAGGGGTGCCCAATACGTCAATGGTGATCTACTGGTCGATCTAAAAAGTATTATGGGGACATCTCATAGCATTCAACAATAGATGTCGGCCGATCATCCATCTATGAAATTTGTCTCGATTGACAGACAGGGCAGCCAGTCTGAGGCTCCGTTTACATGACGTGAAACGTTCGGCCGTTCATTTACACGAGAACAGCCTCGTTCTCTCTGAAACCGAAGGTTTCTGAATCCAGGTCTCAGAGTTTCAAGGAAATCCCTCATGGAGGTATGAAATACTCCAGTTTTCTGCACTAACAACAGTTATAATAAATAACAACAGTTATAATAAATAACAGTTATACTAAATAACAACAGTTATACTAAATAACAACAGTTATACTAAATAACAACAGTTATAGTAAATAACAACGGTTATAATAAATAACAGTTATACTAAATAACAACAGTTATAATAAATAACAACAGTTATAGTAAACGGCAGAGAGCAGAGTGTTTTGTGCTGCTCAGCTTTTTTCAGCATGTAGGAGCAAAACTAATAAATCCAGGCTCCAAAGAGACGTTAGTGTGTTCACCAGTTTGGAGATAACTGTCATGCAGATGCTGCATGCGCGGAGGGTTGCCAGATCATTTTAAAATGTCTTAATTACCCCATCCTTTTCTGTGCACATGTTCAACAAACACAAAACACACCTCCTCTTAGAATATCTTTACTCAGCACATATGACCGTTTAGGTCAAATTACTATCATTTTAAAGCCACAGTACTATAGTTCATCATGTCTTATCTGGCAACCCGACTGACATGGAAACTACAGCGTTTTCATGTAAACCAGCTCATTTTGTTTATTACCCCCAATAAACTTTGAAAAAACACTGAACATTTCCAGAGGTTGTTCTCGGGGCCTTATAGTAGGTAGATCACTTTGACTTGGTTTTAAAAGGAGCTCGCATGCTGAAAAAGTCTGGCTGAGATGTTCTGTGATATCTTCTACAGAGAAAAAGGCTTTACACATCTGGAGATCTCATGAACCACTGAGTGAGACCAAATGAAACAGGCCGAATGCTCATCAAACTCGTTTAATTTCAGCAAATGTTTTGCAACATGCTCATGAATGCTCGATCAGAAAATTATTGTCATAACATCAAACGTGTGATAATTTTGTTCTGCTGTTTATTGTTGGATGTGTCAGATAGTCTAATTTATTGGTCATCCTCTGGATTTATGAAACCAGTAAGAATGAGTTGTGTCCGGATACAGTTCTACCCTGATCTAGAACCAGTTCTTGTTGGTTATTATTGCATTTTAACATAAGTAGTCAGTCGGGGGGGGGGGGGGGGGGGGGCAATCTGTGGACAGGTCATGTGCACATTGTTTCCTGCTCAACCTCCCATCCCTGCCCACCTCCACACGTCGCTACCCTTGGAGAATGTGGACGAGCGGATAACTTCTGGAGCCATCCAGGCGTACGTCCCGGCCGCGCTCATCTTGGTGGTGCGGTGCCACTCCCGAGCAAGACCAAAGTCCGTTATCTTCAGAGTCTTGTTGCTGACGTCTTCCATCTCAACCTTCTCGAGGATCAGGACTGGAGCAGTGAGCAATGGTGGAGATGGAGGGAATGTGGTTAAAAAACGGGAAGGAGGGCGGAGGGTTTGGAGGGACGGGGTTCGTGCACGTTGGTGGTTTAGATGAAAGTTTTCAGGCAATCATTGTCAGGATTTGAAATGTTGGGAGAGGCAGCAGTTCCACAATGTATGATGACACGCAAAATAAAAAGCGAAACAAGGGGAGGAAAAAAAACATGGTGTGGTTCGTGGGAGTCCATGAAAGATTCAAAGGATAAAAGCAGAGAAGAGCAAAGAGAAACCAGGAAACAGTGAGCTACAAGAACAAAGCAAGGCAGAGATGAAAAACCCTCCATCAGCGCTAATAATTCACTTTATACCTCAACAGCCAAAGCTTGATTCAAAACTCTAATAATGTAGTTTGATGCATAACAAACCCAAATGGATAAATAGGCCTTGAACACCAATCAGCTGCATCCAGTGAAGTGGAAGCCTTCAGCAAGCTGTGGGGCCCATCAGACTTCATCTGCACTTTGTGCAGCTCTAACGCTCCAAAAGTATTCACCCTCGAAGTCCTTCAAGTCTCTGACACTTTGAGTTCCTGACGGGAAAATCCAGACTGCTTAGAAATACAGTTTTTATATTTGTTTGATCAAAAAACGAGTCAGACTTTTAGAACTATTTCAGCATGAAATAAAAAATAATTTAAACCAGAGAAATTGCGTTTACTGTGGAAATGCAGTGTGAATGTTTATTGCTGAAGAACTTGCTGAAAAACAGCTGAAATTAGCTTAAAAAAACATGCTGAAAATGTAGATGAAATGGAAGAACAAGTCTAAAATTAGCAGAAGAAAGCAGAAAGAACACAAGTTTGCTGAATTAGGTTTAAATTAGCAGAAATTAGCACATAAATTAGGAAATTAGCCAAAAAAAGGGCTGAAAAGGTGGAAAGAAGCTTAAACTACCAGAAGGAAGTGGAAAGAGCTGAAATGAGCTCCAAATAGATGGAATAAGCTGAAAAAGCTAAAATTAGCATAAAACGGCTAAATAGTAGCTGAAATATCAGATAAAAGCTTAAACTAGCCAAAAAAAGCTAAAAGGAGCATAATAAGCTTAAATTACCATAATTGATAAAATTTTATTAAACCTTTATTTAACCAGATTAAAAAAACTGAGATCAAAACCTCTTTCACAAGGGTGACCTTGTTAGAAGTTAATTTGGTTAAAAGTATCAAAAATTACCATGAAAAACTTGAATTAATTAAAAAATTAAAATAAAAAAAGTTAGTAGAAGTGGTAGAATAAGCTTAAATTAGCATAAGAAAGCAGAAAAACACATTTGCCCAATTAGCCTGAAAGAAGCAGAAACGAGCACAACAGTGAAAATTATCTGAAAAAAATTAAATTGGCAAAAACACAGCTGAAAAGTAGCTGAAAAGGCAGAAAGAAGCTGAAATTACCAGAAGGAAGTGGATAGAGCACATTTTTGCTGAATAAGGCTGAATTTTTTTTTAATTTTTGCGACGTATGTGGAATTAGCTTAAAAAGCTTAAATTGGCATAAAACAGCTAGCTGAAATAGCAGAACTGAAACTTGCAGAAATAAGCTGCAAGGAGCAAAACAAGCTGAAATTAGCAGAAAGAATTTAGAAGAATCACAAAAATGTTGTAGTTAGAAGAAAGAATCTAAAAGGAGCGCAAAACAGCTGAACAAACATCTGAAATTAGTTGAAAATAGCTGAAAAAAGTTGAAATTTACAGAAGGAAGCTGAAAGAAGCTGAAGCAGAACAAAATGTGGAAGGAGCAGTAAAAGGTTGTAAACACATCTAAAGATTTGAAGGATCTAAAATGAGCTCAATTCATTTTCTATGAGGAAAAAAAAGTCAGAAAAGGCTAAATATTTCAAAAAGCTAAAGTTGCTTCAACACCAAAAGTCACAGCAGGATTGTCCTGAAAGAGCTGAACCTTTTGATTCATGATTTGTTGAAATAACACAAAAACTGTGGAACGAGAAAGAAACTGAAAAACGTACGTAAGAAACACGGATCACGATATCGTGAATGCTTCAGAAGAAATCACACGATGACTTTTTTAATTTTAATTCTTTGAGTCTTTTGTTTAAAAAAAACCTCCACATTTCAGCTTAAACAAAATGTTTATTTTAAAAAAGGTATTTCCTCCCATTAGTATGTCCAAAAAGATTTAAATTTAAAAATTTCCAAGACCCTGCAGACCACCGGACCCTTCGGCTGACAGTGAGGCCTTGTCTTCAAACTTCCACCGGCTGCTCGTGGCAGAGCACGGAGGTCTTTTTAATCTTTTGCTTTGTCGTTTTCTTTATTATTAGTTTGTTTTAACGGTTTATTTAAAACTCTGGTATAAACACTAGTTTCTGATCTCTTCTTTACTTACAGCAACCCGGATCTATGAACGAGCTGAAGCAGCACGGTGCACCCGCTAATGTCGTCCTGCTTCGGGATAAACGGACGGAAGTCAGCTCTGAGCTGCTGCGATGCTGCGATGCTGCGACGCTGCGACGCTGCATCCATTTTAACACCCAACGTTTTCTTGTGCACATTACAAGTGAGGTTTTGCTCTTTACAGACAAACGATTTTGTCGGACGAGATGAGAGGCGGGACTCGGCAGCGACTCCAGCCGAGGAACACGTCCCTCTGATGGGTGCGAGACGAACTCGATCTCTGTAGATATTTACAGAGACTCAAATATAAAGAGCGGAACAGCTAATTAAAAAAATTAAGATACGAGGATAGAGGTCAAAAGAAAGAACATCACCGAGAGGAATGCATTATGTTATGATCTGATAAATATGAGATTAAAAGTTGTATTTACAGAGGATTGTAATGTGGCTGGGCGGCACGATGGAGCAGTTGGCAGAGCTGCTGCCTCTCAGTGAGAAGGTCGTCGGATCAAATCCCAGCCCAGTGGAGTTAGCTTGTTCTCTACCTGTGATGGACTGACCTGTCCAGGGTGTCCCCCGCCTCTCCCACAGTGACTGCTGGATATGGACACCAGTGACACCAGTGACCCGAAAAGGAAGATGCGGGTAAAGATGATGGATGGATGGATGCATGGATGGATGGATGGATGGATGGATGCATGGATGGATGGATGGATGCATGGATGGATGCATGGATGGAATCAGGCTGATTTTTCCCCTCAGGAACACGAGAGTGTAGTAAAGTTACTGAGGTTATGAGAACATTTGGGATTTTAGGCTTTGTAAGAAAACATCTGTTCATTGAACCGAAATAAATAAATAAATAAAAACTCAGAGGAAAATAAATGTGTGGTTGACTTTTCCCCACAAGACAAGAGAAGTGTTAAAACAAAGTGTTTGAACAAGCTGCAGACGTGGTTTCAGCTGCTGCTCTTCAGTTCACGGACGTTTTGAGGGAGAAGACTTACTGTTGCTGGACTTCAGGTCTCGGTGAATGACGGGGACCACGGCCTGGTCGTGCAGGTAGAGCATGCCCTGGGCGATCTGCACCGCCCAGTCCACCAGAGCACACGGGGGGATGCGTTTCCCTGCAAGGGCCCGGTTCAGAGCGCCCCCTCGAGCGTACTCCATGACCAGGCACAGGTGGGGCTCCTGGAGGCACACCCCCAGCAGAGCCATGATGTTGGGATGGTTGAGCATGGCGAAGAGCTTGGCCTCCTGACGTACGCTCTCTAAAGTCTGCGCCACGTCCTCATCGGGGTCCCGGCGGGCTGCCTTCACTGCCACCTCTGAGCCCCGCCACACGGCACGGTAGACCTTCCCAAACCCCCCGATCCCGATCATCTCCTCCAACGTGAGCTCCGAAAAACTGATCTCCAGGACTGAGGAGCAAAGAAGACACAAAAGCAGCCCAACCCCGATCATACATGAACCCTCAATAAAATGTTCAATATCTGTCATGGACTCCTCAGAACTAGGACCTGGACCTGGACCCTCACCACGACCCCAATACAGGACCAGTTCTCCCTGGACCACTTTTCTAAAACATGATTGTTTTATAGATTTAATCTACTTAAATCAACAGTTTTTAGTTAAATACAGGACCAAGTCCTAAATTATGGGTTCCAGATTCCTACCAGACCAGACGGACCTGATCTGAGACCTGGTCTGAGACTGGAACTCCATGAGGGACCTGCTGGGGTTACTGGTTTTGACCCTGAAGAGTATCCAGGTGTGTGAAAGAAGTCCAGCAGCTCATGAGCTGCTGTCCAACATTCTGGGTTTAAAAGGTTCTGATAATCTGGACTCTGCTTTAGGAAACTGGATCCAGTTAGAACCATCCAGTGGTTCTGAAGTGGACTGGGTTTAAATGGTTCTGGTACTCTGGACTCTGCCTTAGGAAACTGGATCCAGTTAGAACCATCCAGTGGTTCTGAAGTGGACTGGGTTTAAAAGGTTCTGGTACTCTGGACTCTGCTTTAGGAAACTGGATCCAGTTAGAACCTTCCAGTGGTTCTGGACTGGTTGATGTCTCCATACCGCAGATGTCCCGGCCCGTCAGTGAGACACATCCGGGACATCCTGCAGAAGGATCTACTCTGAGTTCTGGTGCTGAAGCTGCGGATGCTGGACCAGCCTGTCTGTGCGCGTGCAGGTGTGACGCAGCATGAACCCTGACCGCAGTGAGGACCTGTCTCTGTCTCTGTCTCCGTCCCTGTCCCCGTCCCCGTCCATGAGGAGCAGACTGCAGGTACTCACGGTGCAGAGGAGGGACGGGCTGCTCCTGGCTCTCCCTCAGGCCCTGCTCCTCCTTCCGGCCACTCCGTCTGCTGACGTAATTGGACGGAAAGATACCGACCCGGTCCGCTATCATCCCGGTCCACCAGCCCTCATCCCCGGACACCAAGGAGTCCTGGGACAGGACCTCCACCCGGTCTCCTGTGCAGAGGCTGAGCTCATCCTCCGCAGTCGCTTCGTAGTCGAACACGGCGGTCCAAACGGCTGCCACGCCGGCCCGGTTCGGCCCAGCGGAACACATCTGTCTCTAACGTCCTGGGACTTACTCTGCTGTCCACCGCGGGTCTCAAGACGTCCATGGACGCGATCCATGAGGAGATGAGGACCCGCCTGAGGCCGAACCTGCGTCCACCATGCAGACCTGCAACCCCAACAGCTGGTCCCCGCTCCACCCGGAACCTCTTAACCAATCAGGACAGCGCGCCTGGATGCCCCGCCTTCCTATTGGTGCATAGACACGTCAGTAACTCTTCAGGCCCCGCCCCTCTTCGATTCAAGACCAAACAGGCTGGTTAGTTTTCTTCAAACAGCTTTATTTATTTGTTACACCTCCTCCAAAACAAAAACAAACAAAACATTAAAAAAAAAAAAAAAAAAAAAGCTTCAATCCATGCACAGTCTCCAGAACCGAACAGAATCAGTGCTCTGTGGGTTCTGAACATCTGGATCCAGGTGGAACATCTGCAGCACCTGACAGCAGAGCAGGTTCAGAAACATCTGCCTGAGCTCAGATGTGACCCGATAAGAAGTTTCACTTCATGCAAACAAACAAAGAGGCTGGAAACACGAACGAAATGTGAGAAATGTTTCCAAATGTTTCCAAATGTCACAAAGTCAAAAAGAGACATGATGTTTCCTGGAGACAAGGCTTCAAACCTTCACCTTTAGCCACTAAAGAAAAGATATCACAAACGAGAAGTGTGAATACATCACTGGACCATCCATCCATTATCTTTATCACCGTTCCATCTGGATCACAACTAATAAATAAATAATTTAATAAATATATTCATTATTAATTGGATTCTGATCCATGTGTGACCTCACCTTTTATAAAACTTTGAGGCCTAACAATGTGTACATTTCAATGTGTGTGTACATATATACACACATA